TCACAGGAAGGTGGCAATGATGAAACCCCTTGAACATCTTGCGTACCTAAAAAACTCTGCTCGTGTACCCAGCGGAGTTTTTGCCAGGAGCAGGAAGCAACTGGGCGACCTGTAGCAGAGCAACAAGAAGGATCCACGTGCCTTCCAGTTGTTCCAAACGTATGGGGTGTGCCTCCTCCTCCTCAGGCACAAGGGGGGGATCGAACTCTGGCTCCGCAGCCAGGCGCTCCAACTCACCAAGCTTTCCCGCCTGCAATAAACGGCTTCCTGGGGAAGCCAGCTACAAAGACGGACATAAGCACCAGACGTCCGGTTCCACACAGCATCTGCATTTGCGCATTAGTCCTAGGAATGTACGGTATAATGCATAGCTCCCATGGCTTTCAATGTACTTATCTATTAGCCACCTAACATACAGGCACTAGAAATGGCCAAAATGCCTCCTGGATGCTCATTTCTGAGTCCTGTTGTGCAGCTCGACTAGGTGATCTGATACAGGTTGCATGCCTGTCTTAATCTTCACGTATTCCTTGTGCATTAAGTACTAATTTGATAATTGCATTTCCCTCCCTTAAGTCTGCTACACTAGCACCATCTCTTATTAAACACACACCTCCTTTGGACAGAAAAGGAAAGCCAGGCCAGGTTTTGAGAGGAGTCTGGCTGTCTCCCTGCAGGAACCTAGAAAATAGAACAGATTCCCAAGGGCCAAGACTTGGCAAAGCAGCCAGCAATTCAACTGGTGTACCTTGCCTGATCGCAGTGTACCCAGAATGGCAGATTCTTTGCTAATGGCAGAACTTTCCCAAAGCAGCCACTAGAACTCAAAATCAGAAGAAAACAAGCTGTTTCCCTCACAAGCCCAGTCAAATTTTTCACTGGGTCCATTCTGTTATCCCCCCGCCCATTTTATGCTGCCTAGATACGTACAGGTCAAACCTCAACATGAGCACAGATTTGTAGATGAAGGAACCCTACCGCTTTAATGGTGCCAGCATGAGGACTTAAAAGCCTTGTGAGGTATTTGAGGCCAGACGCAAGAGCGGAGGAAAGCTGAAATGCTAACAGTTAGGCGGGCAAGAAAATAGGATTTGCCTCCGCCCCACCCCAATGGGCCTGCTTTTATGAAAAATAGATATTTTTCTCCCACAGTGAGAGCACTGGAAGAAAAATATCTGCAGTTCCAGGCACCGTACGGAGGAAAGTCAGAAAACAGCTTTAGGACCATGTCCGAGGCCAGTGGACAATGACTGGGCAAGGTGCTGTGAGGCCACAGATTGCTCACAAAATGTTGATGGGCATGATGCAAACGCCGGCGCCGACGCACCTGCAAAGACAACGGCTTCTTGCAAAGGAACTGGAAGTCTGCATGGCTGGGTCGCCACGAAGGCCTCGCACAGGCTTGGTGGGTAGAACAGCAGACAGAGAGCAGGAGAGGGCATAAGGAGAGAACCCAGGAGGTTGGGAAGCCGGGCACAAAGGGAGCGTCAAGAAGGCGCCGCAGGGCAAGCTGGAAGCCGGAGGCCGAGGGAAGAGGTGGGCAGAGAAGACCGAGGGGTGAGTCAAGACGGAGAGCTCCCTTCTGGAGCGGGGACCCCTTCGTCCACCCAGGCTCAGCTCTCCCCCCCCCGCCCTGTTCTGAGGGAGCGTGGCCCTCCAGGCACACAGCTCGAGTCTAGCAATGAGCAGCAAGTAATAAGGGGTCAAAAGGCCCTTGAAGGAAACCACATTTCAAACAAAATCCTGACTCCAGAGCCAGCTCACACATTCAACGGAAAAGTGTCACGTGTGCGACAAACTCTCACCCCGCCTGCCCCCGGTGTGTGTGAAGCAACTGACCCAGGCCAGGAGGTGTTCGTGCTCTTTGCTGTACCTCAAACTATGGGCATCTTGGCCATCATTTGCCAGGAAGGAAAAAAGGCATCAGCCAAAACTTGGCACGGAAGCACTCTAGCTGGGAATCCATACCTGACAGAATGTCCAACAATTAATATTTCCAGGCAGCTCACGACCGATGGATTCAGGGGCTGGAGGCGCCATACAAGGAGAACCAGCCAAGGCTCATCCAAAGGGTGTCTCACAAACATGGGATTCGACCACAACGGAGCCACTGCCAGCACCTGTGACAGTCGGGACACAACACGTGTGTTCCCCTCAAGTGTGCTGGAAGAGCAGCCGCCAGAATCCAGAGGCCAGAAAGCTTCGCCTGGAGAGTCAGCGAGGCCGACGTTCAGCTTCCAGGAGACTTTAAAACTCACCCTCATTTCCAGCTGCTCAACAGCAGAGAAAGGGAAGTCAGCCAGGAAAGGGTCAACACACCAGTAAGGTGGAAGATCTAATTCTATCTTGTTTACACACAGTCCCTTTTGACAATTACATTCATTTTAAATACGTTCTTAAATTTATAGGGTACTGTAAGGCCAGACCCTGACTATATAGACCTGCCAAGGTAAAACCAAAAGGGTTCTTTATTCCCCCTGAAATACCACTCCTTAAGAAGCCTCAGGCTAATATTCTGCATTGCTCACCAGTCGCACGACTCGGTGTGCAAGGGGAAGACCAAGGGCCTAAGACTTTATGGGCAGCCCTCTTCCAGAGCCATAGATCCTGTTCGAGGTACACTGACAGGCAGGGGTAACAGGATGTGGCCTCTCAGCCTTCGCAGAAAAGTCCCATTCATGACTTGCCCCTTTTAAGTCCTGTCAGATTAAGTTTCAGAGCAAACCCAGTAAACATCTGGTCGATGCATTGGGACATTCATTCATGACTTGTTAATTAGGATGCAGATTTATGCCCCGCTTGCCTGCTCTCCATCAGCCAAGAGATTCTGCGCCTGGCTCTCGTCTTCCCTGCTTTTTACAAAACAACCCAGCAAGGAAGGCCAGTCTTGGGGGGGGAGCAGCATTTCATCGCTCTGTGGGAGGTTTAACTGGAGGGTCCCAGAGCCCATTCTAGGAAGCCTGAGCATCGTCTTTCCCCGCAGCTTCCCTGGCGGAAGAGAAACCCCTGTGATGATGATGCTAATATTAACTGGGGAAATGTTCATGGGAAAACACAATGTTAAAAAGCTGACCATTTTTGTTAAAACTACATACTAATTTGTTATGGTAAAGCTAGTGAACCTCCCGCTCGGTCCATAGCTTGATGGATTGATGCCTTTTCTCTTAGCTGGACTTCCACAAAGCAAAACCCCAACTCATCCGTTATACCAAACCCGGGCCGATCTGGCCTCAAGAGGGGACTCCTGCTCCCTCCACTGTCTGCCTAGTGGTCATCTCAGCCCACACAGAGGAATACAGTACAGAGGGAGGCGATCCCAAATAGTGAGTGCCTGGTATAAGATGGGGTCTCTACCCACCTCCCCCAAAAGGCACCGACGATTCCAACAAACAGGGCAAACTCCCTCTTCCAGAAAGGAAAGGAAAAGAAATTGAAGGGACCCCCCCCAAAAAAAACCCCCATGGAATGCAACAGTAATACATGGAAAAGGAAGAGACCAGATTCGTTTTCCGCACACATGCCAACAGAACAGAACCCAAGAGCAAAGACAGGCGGCAAAGTCCCGTGGCAGCCTGACAACAAACAGGTTTTTTGTCCGCTCATGAAGTTTTGTGGGTAACAGTCCTCTTCCCCCCCCCCAATGTACGGAGCAAAAGGTTTCAAGCCACAGGTGGAAACACAAGGGGTCATGGCTATGGGGTGTGTGTGGAGGTGGCAGGTAGAGAGACAGAGCCAAAAGTAGACGCACTGCTATAAACACAGGCCACGGACTTTCGAAGGGCCCCTTCGGTTCATGCAAGCCACTGAGCAATGGGAAGGTCTGTGGGGTAAGCCAAGCCGAAAACACCGAGGCAGCCCGAGGCGGCCGCTGACCAAGAACCTGGGAGTTGATCGAGGCAAAATATATATATATATATGGGGCTTGAAAGCTCTCTGGTTCCAGCACGAGCAATGATGACGAATTCATCTGCCCTGCGTGATTTTACAAACACAAGCCCCCCCATCCCCAGCTTGGCACATCTTCTGCCGGGACGTCCCGAGCACGACCACGAAACCTTCAAAGCCTCCCGGTCGCACAAACAGGTCCCCCTTTTGCACGAAACCCACCCTCCGGGATTATCTTTCGGACACGAGGAGCCCACCCTTCCACAAAAATGAAAGGAACCTCTTGCATTTCCTCATGCATGGGGGCCTGATCCTGTATCAACACAAAGCTTGCACAGCTCCCCCCCCGGTCCCGCCCCCTGGCCTGCCTGCCTGCCTGCCTGCAAGGTGATTGACAGTGAGAAAAAGGTACAGCCCCTCCTCCTGATGTCCCGCCTTCCACTCCCCATAGGATGGAACTTTCCCTCCAAACCCATGACAGACAGGTAACATCAGTGCTGTTATGTAACACCTGTCACTTTGGCTGTCGCATCACCCGCTCGCCCACTTCCCCTTTCGGCCTCACCACCCGGCCACCCCCACATCCTGAGCGGTGCCAGCAGCCAGTCGCTGACGGTTCAGGGGCTCTGGAAGGAGGGGCAGGAGCGGCTGGGGCAAGTCAGGGCCCCTCCATGCAGGAGGAATTTGGGGGGGGGGAATGGAGACCCTGGCACCCTGCATCTTGAAGGACCCAGAGGCTCCCACGGCCCCCATGCACACACCCTTGCCCCCCCATGGCATTTGCCACTGCAGGCGTATAACCCATGAGCTAAAACGGCCAAGGCAGCAGAAATGCCCCACAAGCACAACACAGATGTCGCACGGATTCCTCCACCTCCGGAGCGGGCCTGGGCTTTCCTCTTGACCTCAGGGGCCCTTTTCCGAGATCCGCGCTTCCCTCCCAAATCCCAGATGGGCCAAAGGCTCCTTCTAGGTCCTCTCACTGACTCCCGCCTTGGAGGGGGGGGGGACCGCCTCTAGGAAGAGGTTCTGGGGCTCAGCCACTGGCCCAGGTTAGCCCAGGATGGGGGGGTGCCACCCCCCAAGGGATCGGTGCAGAGAGCATCATCACTCACCTTGACACTGGAAGCCTTGCTTGCCAAATCCCCTGCAAAGCAGAAAAAGGGGCACCGTAAGAATCCGGACACAGAGTTAGGCACACACACCCAGGGGGCAAGAGGCAGCCTCTGTGGCTCCAGGCATTCCACAGCTCCCACACCCAGGTTCTAACAGGATCCACCAAGGGGTTCTTTCTCACCTTTGGGGTTGGGGGGGAGGAAACCTCTGGGGGTCCACGGGCCAACTTCTTTCCCTCTCCCCACCCAAAGGGTGTCAGGGCCCCAGGGAGTCCAACCTCCTCTCCCCTTTAAGCATTCTTGGCCCATTCCACTCTTTACTCCCACAGGCTGCTGAGAACGGAAAGGGGGAGCCAGGGGCTGGGGGTGCCCCCTACCCCTGCCTGCAGACAAGGGGAAGCTCTCCTTTGCAACGGTAGCCAAAGGAACGGGAGGAAATCGGGGGGGGGAGCAGCCTGGGGGCTGCTGGGCAGGGAGACCCTGAACGGGAAGGTCCACTGAGGCCAGAGCCTCTCCTCTGTGGGGCAGGCAGGGTCGACAACCCAACACTGACCCCCACCCCCACCCCATCTTGGCTGCAACCCATGGCAAGCCTTTGCTATGGGTTGGTAGGGGGTCTATTTCTAAGGGCCTCCTGTCCTGTGCCCACAGGTGTCGCTTACAAGGAAAAATGCAGCTGTGGAGGAAATGGGTCACCTTTCCCACCACCACCACCACCTGTGGCAACCTTAAAGGTATAGGGACCTTCCCCGCCCCCCGCCCCCCACACACACAGCTTTTACAATGATGGAAGAGTTTTCCACTGGTGAAAATGGGAGGGTTGGAGATTTTTGTTTGTTTGTTTACTGCTGGGAGTGGATGCCGGCTTTTCCCTGCCTAAGCTTGGGGTGCTGATGAAGGCAATGGATCTGAGGGTGGGTGGGGTGGGGGAGTAAAGGGGAAGAGGTTCTGCTATGGGAGAGGCAGAGAAGATGGGAAGATGCTCCAGAAGGGAGGGTCTCTTGGTAGGCAGCAGAAGGCCCTCCTTGGTGTGTTCAATGGGGGGGGGATGGGACTTTCTGTTGACCCGGCTGTGAAAGCCTTCGAGAATAAATCACATTTATGATGCTGCGGGAGGGTGCTGAGTGCAGAAATTGAACGCATTCATGAATGAATGAATACATCAGCCAGTTGGCTGTGCCCTCAGTATAATCTGGACTTTCTGTTGATTGGGGGGGGGGTTGAGTCTCCATTCCCTGCCTTCTGGCACTAAGCGGGAGGCTCCTTAGCCTGCTCCCCTGGCAGCATCTTTCACTTGTGTGCTAGGTTAGGAAGTGGAAGCCCTAAACCCCGCACCCTGCCCCATGCAGAAAGAGAGCCCCTGAAATGGCAAGGAGGGAGGGAGGGAGGGAGGGAGGGAGTGGCCCTTCTCCCCACCTGGAACACCTTCCCCCCCTTCCCCCCCATCTCCCTCTGCCTCCTGGCCCCATCCTGCCCCTCCCACTGCCCCAGATGCAGAATCCTCCCTTCCTCCATCCTGTCCCCCTTGCCCCCTTCCCTCTCTGCACCCCCTCTTCCTCCTCCCACCTGCCCCCCCAGCATGCTGGGGGGGGATGCCTTGTACAGAGCCCAAGAGGAGGGGTGCATTGCGTAATTGACTGCAGGGGGACTGATTCTGCCTGGGGCCAGCCTACCTCTGGGCTTTGAGAAATCCATGGGGTGCGCACCCTCGCCCCCTCTCCCTCCCGGGGCCTACCTACCCCCGTCGGCAAGTCCAGTTGGGGGCTCAAGGTGCCCCACAGCTTTGGAGGAGGAGGGGGGCCCGGCTCTGCGCTAAACAGCAACACGCGCCAGGTGTGGCAAATGAACTGGGACCGAACCGCGGGGCTTCTTGGGGCCCGGCCCGGCTGGAGGAGCCCCGACGGGTTGGCGGGCTGGCGGCAGCGGTGAAATTTAAAGCAACCCTCCTCGCGGACTCTGCCTGGATTTGCAAGCACTTGGCCTCCCGGTGAGGCCCGGGCCCTCCCTCCTCCCGGGAAGCGCCAGCCGGACCCCCCTGGTTTCCCTGAACATGCGGGGATTGGGGAGGGGGGTGAGAGAGGTGGTTGTCTTCATCCTCATCCTCATCTAAGGCCCTGGAGCGCAGAATCCCGTTTGCATGGGTCTTCGGTCCTTCGGGGGGGGGGGGCTGCTCAGCCTGCATCCCTGCCCCTGGCAGAAAGGGCCCTATCCAGAAGAGGGGGAGGGGGAAAGACGGCTCTGCCTCCAAGG